GCCACCTGTGCTCTGTTAATACCATCTTATCCATGGCAGTGAGCTTGCAACACACATATACGCATTCAAAGATAAATCAGACACAGCTGTGAAATCCATAAAACATGATCAAAACAATGGCAAGCTCTATCTATCTATCTATCTATCTATCTATCTATCTATCACACTGAGGTCTACAGACAAATATATTTTCAAATGCCACCAAACAATCATGAAATACAGGAAAAGTGATGATAGTCAAAATGTGGTAAATTCATGCACAGACAAGGGAACAACCCAGGATGTATATAAATAGCTTTGCCTGACATAAAATATACCCTATATAAAAGTGGTAACACTTTGTAATAACTTTCATTAATAATAACATTCAGAACTGCAAAAATAAGGTTTTCAAACAAGTTTCTCAAACACTCCCCCTGTCTGGACAAACAGATACTTCTGCCACAAAATCAGACCAACAGTCGAGCCAATGTTAATGTGTTAAGCTGGTAAACATGTTTAAACAAAGCACTTAGTGTACCACAGGGTTTACACTGTTTGGGGGAATCAACCTACAAATGGCTTACACAGGGTATATACAGGAATCATGGAGTTAAATGTAATACCTTTTAAGACCTTTTAAGACCCTTTCCATACATTTTAAGACCTCATTGCCACTCCATGTTTTAACCGGTTACATTGGTGACACTTTAACTTACATTTACTATATATTGATTGTAAGATAGCACAACTAAACAGACTTACTTTGTGATAACTCCTTATTAATACAACAGAATTCAGAAGTGGGGAACGAAGCACAAGAGAATTAAATAAGTGACTAACCAATGCAACCCAAGAAACAAGAATTAGACCAATAAACAAAACAACTGACAAAACTTATTGAGGAGGGAAAATAAAGCTCTCCAAGCTAACGGGACAATGAGTTTGCACAGTATATTCAAAAGATGTATTTGTCACATCAACTCTTATAACTGTCTGCAAACCATAGCTGTTTTGTGGAACACGTCTCATGACAAACATCTGACAGATCAGACAGTTTACCTGTGATTACGGAGTGCTTGATTTGATGCAGACTTGACAGAGTGTCAGTACTGCACCTGATCATGTCTGAATGATCATGGAAGGTAAAATAATGATCACAACTGTTTTATTACAGGTAGAATGCAAAATGTTTCAGTACAAGCATTTCAACCAAATGTAATTTATGCAATTAACCCACTGGGGAAAATCAACCCATGGCAACAGTTTAAAAGCAGCCCAATTCCGTGGAAAAAAAATAACAACCCTGCATCCCGAGCTGCAGTAGTCAGATTTGACTGATCACGGGTCAAAAGTAAGGAGAGATAACTGACAAGATGTTGGGGGATTTGCTCCTCGACAGATCCCAAGTTCATTGTCAAATTTCTTTTATCGTAAGATGTGCTCCCTTTACACAGTGCGCGCGCGATCGCGAAATCGAAAGTGAACTGCGACTGCTAGATTTACCCCACATATTGATAGCAGTGCCCTGATGCGCGAAAATTATATACAATTAGAATGTTTGCGGGAGCGGACACAAAAATCGAGGGAGCGGATGGAAGCATGCGGTGATGGTCAGCAACAAGAGGGTCTAGCTGCAGCCTTGCACTTGCACTCTCAGGTTGTAATCTGATATAAAAATAAATAAATAATATATATTTCAAATATATTCCATTCATTGTTTTAATAACATGAAGTGCATTAAACATTACGTCAAAGTTGTGAAGGAACTGCAGGGGGTTTGTGAGTTTAATGAAAAGTTAATAATGAATTAAATCATAAAAATGTTACATTACATCAAATATTTTTTTCAATTACAACAATCAAAATAAAACACTTAATAAAAAATATGAAATATTATACCTGTTTATCTGCATGTCATGTGACCATGTCAATAATGTGTAATCATGAAATCAATAAAAAAGTAATTGTAGTCTGATGACGAGTATGTAATAAAATCAAATTACATATACTTCATTTTTGGGTAACACTTTATTTTACGGTGTCTTTGTTACACGTTACATGTACTTACTAGTATAATAACAATAAATTATGCAGAATTACATGCAACTAACCCTAAACCAAATCCTCATCCTAACTCTAACCCTAACGAGAGTACATGTAGTTAATTAATATTACTCAGTATTTAAATGTATAATTACACTGTAACAAGGACACCTTAAAATAAAGTGTAACCAATTTTTGGAACCTGATTACATGATCTAGATTACACAGCACTGCATATAAAACGTTTAATATTATTATGTTTTAAATGATCATTTATATACCTGAACCCAGGCTGAAAACCCTACATTTAAAAAGCAATTTTTGGATGACAATGCAATAAGCTTGGAGTAAGTAAGCTTAGAAAACAACCCTGCTGCTGGTCACTTTACCGGTGGAAGGGAGTAATAGACTGACAGTGGCAAGTCCACGAAGCGCAAAGCAGCCACCTTCATGGACACCTGTGTGTTTCTGAACAGCTCCTCAGTCATGATGCCATGATCCCTCTGGATCTCAACTACAGCCCATTATCCACTTCACCAATTCAACCTAAAAGAAACACAAATTACATCTGACATACCATATACAGGGTGCATCTCAATAAATTAGAATGTCGTGGAAAAGTTGGCAATGAATGTTTGTGGCTTACCCTCCTTGTGAAGGGTGTCAATAATTGTCTTCTGGACAACTGTCAGATCAGCAGTCTTCCCCATGATTGTGTAGCCTAGTGAACCAAACTGAGAGACCATTTTGAAGGCTCAGGAAACCTTTGCAGGTGTTTTGAGTTGATTAGCTGATTGGCATGTCACCATATTCTAATTTGTTGAGATAGGGAATTGGTGGGTTTTTGTTAAATGTGAGCCAAAATCATCACAATTAAAAGAACCAAAGACTTAAACTACTTCAGTCTGTGTGCATTGAATTTATTTAATACACGAGTTTCACAATTTGAGTTGAATTACTGAAATAAATGAACTTTTCCACGACATTCTAATTTATTGAGATGCACCTGTATAACATACACATCCATCTATCAGCAGGGGAACGACCAGCTGGCCTGTTAAACCTCAAGTGACACTGATTAAGAGAGGACTTGAGTCTGTCAGACACTCACACACAGTTGTTTATTTATTTCATACAATTTCTCTCTAAAGCCCACTCTGTGACTTTTTATACGTAGCAGTCCAATACATGCAGTCTCTATTCTAATCTTGGGAATTAAGTAAACAAGCTTTGATTGTGCCATATGCGACATGTGAACCGACTTACAGAGGTTAAATAACGGTCATGTTAATGGCGTGATTCAATGTTTGTTAAAAACACCCAACGATCATGGCCAACAAAAAAATGGGACCAAACGTTTATGAAAAATGACCCACAGTTATCCAGTTTCGATCGTCGCTCGATAGTTAACTCTGTGTTAAACAAATGAATAACACGCATCATCATAAATATTGGCTGTAATGGCACTGACTGTGGGTTATAAACTGAGGATAAAATAATAAACATACTGTAACGCTTACATTTAAGCTTTATCTCGGAGACACACCATCTGTACTCATTGCGATAACTACGCCTGCGTGCTCACGTGGACGCGAACAGACTCCGCGAATCTGGAACTCACTTCCGGTGCCACTGTGAGGTTTCAAAATAAAAGTTCATTAAACTTGTGGGAAGAGTGGGCTAGTTTATCCAAAAAGGAGAATTATCTCATCTTTTACTCACTTGTTGTTTCAAACTAGTACATTTTCTTAGAGATATTAAATTAAATCTAATTAATGTAAAACTATAAAGAATTTATTTCATTAAAGCAGCCAAGAAAAAGCTATTTTTATTTCGTTTTTATTACAGAACACATAATAACATAAAAAGGTTACAAACACACAAGTAACAAAAACAATAACAAAACAAAAATAACGAAGATACAATCAAAAGTTTAAGTTTTTCCATAGCCTTTATTATTAAGAGTTATTAAGGTTTATTTTATTATTAAGGTTTATTAAGAGTTTTGGCTGTTTTGATTTCAACAAAATATAGGGACACAAAATACAGATCTGGATTAATGTTTAATGTTAAATTACATTATAATACAAACATAAGTGTTTTGAATTTAAATATTTAAATGTAAACGTTTCAGGAAAATTGTTTAAACATTATATATATATATATCAATCCGAGCAGCTGAGTCCTTAACCATCTTCAAGAAACGACTAAAAACACATCTGTTCCAGCTTTATTTGACCCTCTAACTCTAGCACTTTCTATTCTATTTTAATTCTACTTTATCTATATTTATCTTCTTTTTTGTTTTATTTTTTATAAAAAAAAAAACAACAACAAAAAACTAACAAACACTAGCTTTCTATTTTTTCTATTCTATCTACTTGTTTTTCTTTGTGTGTGTGTGTGCGTGTGTGTGTATGTGTGTGTGTGTATAATATATGTATGTATGTGTGTGTATATATGTGTATGTGTATGTGTATGTATGTGCATGTGTGTGTATGTATGTATGTATATATATATATATATTTATATATATGTGTGTGTGTATATGTGTGTATATATGTATGTGCATATATGTGTGTATGTATATATGCATATGTGTATATATATATATATATATATATATATGTATGTGTGTGTATGTGTGTATATGTATATATTGTGATGAGTCTCCTGCTCTTCCTGCTACGGCCGGCCAGTGGGTGTGTCTAGGAGATTCATCAAGAGAACGATGTCCACCTGTTCTTCCTGCTATAAAAGTCTTGGCTTTGTTGGTGTGGGTGCGCCTGGTTTGTTCCTGATTGCTTTGTGTTTGTTTTAGGTTTTGGAACGTTTATTTGGATTTTGTTATGAGTTGTGAGACTTGTTCTGCTTTACTGTATTTACATCAATTAAACAATCTTAAATCTCAAGCCAAGTCTTACCTGCTCATCTCCTACCGTAATGTAATTGACTCTACGGCCACACGGGGCCGTCTGGGCTGGGATGGACCCCGCTCTGTCTTCAGGGATCAATGCGCATCTGTGAGTCGTTCCGCGGGTCCACACTAGGAGGCACCGCCGCTGCCTGCGTCCCCCATTCACTCTCAGCACCGCACAGCAACCGGAAGAAGCTGTTTGAATGTGTCATACCATGTCTGAAGTTAAGTGTCCGACGCCAGGCGTTTGAAAACCCGCTGTCTGCAAACCGAAGAATACTACAGATATGTAGTCTTTAAACCGCCGCCCTCTTCATCAGCAGACCAGAAGCGATAATCGACTCATATTGAAACCATCGTTGATTTCCCTAGAGGTGAGCTAATATTATACCACTGGCTTGTGTGCGAACTGAAATATGGCGTATGTAAAGCTTTGCGTCCAGCAGAGGTAATCCTGCATTGATTCTGTGCGGTTGTAGGTGCTGTGTTGCGATATGAGCTGATGCAGAGGCAGAGCTGTCAGATGATGAGCGGCGCACTGACTTTAGCTTTAGCCCGCCGCATTCACACGCCTTCTGTCTGCTCTTCATTCACAGTAAACAGCGCATTCAGTGACAGTCTGCGGGGATTTGAGCTGTTCTTGTGGTTGTAATGACTGAAAGGTTTATAGCCGCGGGCGAAACTGTGGGGAAGTATGTGCGTGACAGGCTGAAGCTAGTTGCTAAGTAGCCTATCGAAGATTCTGGCTTATGCTGACGCGTTGCTGGAGTGACGTCACACACAGCTGTAGGCCCATAGCTGTCGTTTACTGTATGTGACTTCTGTACATTACTGCACAATACTATGAGTGTACTGTACATACGAATAAGAATAGCAACAAACAGCTACAACAACAATAATCATTATCCAGAATAATTATTACTCACTATCTCGAATTCCCAAACTATTTTAAATACTCTTTTGCATGATTACGGTTCTCTGATATGGGTTTATGGTCACGTGGCATGCTGGTAAACACAAAATGTTTCGTATTTCTTGATGAGTGTGTTATTTTGATTTTTTAAATTATTATTATAATTATTAATGTTATTAATTTTTATTTTTTTTTTAAAAGAGGGGCTCTGTGGAAATGATTAGAGAAAAAAGTGCTGATTAAAAAAATTAATAAAGTTAAGACTACAAATAAATTATGGTTACATATAAAAATAAATATGTAATTAAATAATAATCAAAATTTAGAATAAAGAAATAATAAAAAAATATATATCAAAATAACTATATTACATTGTTATAGTACGAATTATTACAAATGTAATATGATAATATAACTTAAAATAAATGTTTTTAAAAAAAATTTCATACGTTTATATTGTAAATTTTTTTTTATGGTATAAATTAGGCGTTTATACAAGAAACTATATAGGGGATCATATACACGAGGATAATCATATTTGGGGGGTAAACACTAAAAAACCCTTATTGTTAGCTTTTCATCAGCTTTCATCAAACCCACTGCAGTTCCCTCGCAAACCCTGGTTTGGGAAACCTTGTCATAGGCTATGTAGTAACTAAGTCTTGTAAACAGTCTCTGTTGCAAAACTGGTTAGTCTGTAGATTTTTAAAGATAACATTTTATGATGTTATTATTGTCTTCTGTTTATATAAGGTCAAAGTGCTGTGAGATTGTAAAGTATGTGCAGGCCATACAGATTTTGCATGCATATGCTGTCCTGTCACAGATATTCATTAGTCTACAGGTTATCGATTGAGTACAAAAGTAAATCTGTATTGTAAATCTATGTCAGAAGTTCAAGACATGGCAGTGTTTTTTGTTGTTTGTCATTTCACAAAACATGTCTTAAACTTCGCCCTGAATTACACTCGGTAACCACAGAGACTTTTGCACACAGTTTAGAAAATTGTAAAAAAAAAAATGTCAGAAAATGAACAAAATAATGCTTTGTCAAAAGGTCATTTTTAATTTTCAGTGAACTTTGTGTTGCAAAACATTTAAAAATGTCAATTTAAAAAGCTGCATTGCTTTTCGTAAGCAATATTAAAGGGGTCATATGATGCGATTTCAAGTTTTCCTTTCTCTTTGGAGTGTTACAAGCTGATTGTGCATAGATAAGATCCCTGAAGTTGCAAAGACTAAAGTCTCAAAACCAAAGAGATACTCTTTATCAAAGTTAAGACTCTGCCACACCCCCCTAAAACGGCTCGTTCTAACACGCCCCCACATATCTACCTCACTATGTGGAAATATTTGCGTAATGCCGCCCAAATGTTCACGCAAAGAAAGAAGGCGTGGTTTCAGTAACCGCAGTTAGTGTTGAAGCAGCCATGTCAGGGAGACGCTGTGTGTTTCTAGGCGAAAGCAAAAGCACTTTATTTGGCCTTCCGAAAGTAGATGCATTTAGGAATCTTTAAGATTACTTACAACAGAACAGCAATGCATTTTATGGACGACTGTTTCGTGAACCTAGGAGAGGAGGTAATTCTGACTTTGCTATGACAATCTGGCGCTTCTGAATCAGCTACTGTTTTGTTATTAGTTTAAGTATTTGCTATTGACTGTTCAAATGCGGAGTTTTGCGCATCGTGTGTGTGTGTGCGCGAGCGAGAGAGAGAGAGAGCACGAGAGAGAGAGAGAGCGCGAGAGAGCGAAAGAGCGCACGAGAGAGAGAGAGAGAGAGAGAGAGCGAGAGAGGGGGTCACATCACAGTGGAGTCAGCTGTCTTAACCGTGGCTTGTGTACTGCAAACACATACCAGCTTCATCACTGTGTCTGTCACGCGACTCTGTTCCCCTTTCGGGCTCTGTCTTTACATTTATTTTGAAAGATGAAGCTCGCGATTATGGTAAGGGGCATTACATTTCCGACGAGTGCTTGCGGTGTTCGGCCAATCACAATGCACTGGGTCAGCTGGCCAATCAGAGCAGACTGCGCTTGTCGGAAGGAGGGACTTTGTAGAAAACGAAGCGTTTGACAGAGGCGGGGCATAGAGGACCTACAGTAATGTACAGTATTTGAAAAATAATGTGTTTTTTGAACATTAAAGCATGTCAACATATTTTGTTACACCAAATACACAAAATGAGGATCTTTAAAAAAGCATCATATGACCCCTTTAAAGGAATAGTTAAACCAAAGGTGAGCATTTTGGGGGCTTGTCGCATATGATTCATCATTTACTCATCCTTATTATGTTACAAAGCTGTATCCTTTTGTGGAACAACATAGGAGATGGATGAGAGGACGTGATTATAATTGGTGAAGCTTCAGATGATAAAAGTAGTTCATATGACTTGTTCTATATTATATCATACTATATTTATCTCAAATGTGTCTCCATTGGCCACTTGTGTTTGAATTTCAAGGGGATGGCTTATTTCATCTGGACGGCTTAGTGTTCTTCTCACTATGAATGATGTGTGTTTTTAATAATCGGGTCACAGATCCTGGATTTTTAAATAGTAGTTTACTAAATGTATCTCTCTCTTTCCAATAGAGTGATGTCTGGAGCGTCAAGCAATGAGTGTCCACACTTGGAGTGTGTGGGGGAGATCACCAAGGAAGAACTCATCCTGAAGTCTCATGTGAGTCCCTACCAAGAAGACCCAGTCGCACCTTTATCATATCATTGCTTCCACCCATTTCTCATAAGTCAAATGTAGTGTGCATTATTGACAAAGTATTGTTGACCCCTATTCCAGAGTTTGTCCATAGGCACTAATAATGCATGGCTGCCTTACATTTAAGAGCTTAGGCTATAACAGTGCATGCTGTTGAAATCAAAGTGCAATTATGTGGATGCGTTATACATTATTGTAGTTTAAAAGCATTTGAGGTTGCGGTATAATTGCTTGCCAGATTGTACCTTTAATAGAATACATGTTTTCAGAAGAGTTTTGTGTTAGTGGGCTCCATTGCATATATACACAACCATTCAAAAGATTGGGTCGGTACAATTTTTGTAATGTTTTTGAAATAAATCTCTTATTTATTCTACTAAGGCTGCAGTTAGTTGCTCAGCAACTACAGCAAAAACAGTAATATTGAATACAATTTCAAATAACTGTTATCTGTTTGAATGTTATTCCTGTGATGGCAAACTGAATTTTCAGCATCATTACTCCCGTCTTCAGTGTCACACGATCCTTCAGAAATCATTCTAATATACTGATTTGGTGCTTAAAAAACATTTCTTATTATTATCAAGGTTGAAAACTGTTTTGCTGCTTAATATTTTTGTGGAAACCATAGTAATTTTTTTCAAGATTCTTTGATGAATAGAAAGTTATAAGAACAGTTTATTTTAAATCGTTTGTAACTAGGGGTGCTCCGATTGATCGGCTACCAATCACACTACTACTATCGGCCGATAATCGCTTTGGGATGTTTGATCAGCGGTCTCTATAAAGGCTGATCTCATAAACCGATCTCAAGCTGATGACGCGCCTGCTGTAAGAGGTTTGGCATGACATGCAGCGGCACCGTCTCTGGCTGAAATAATTATAATGCTGAAGTTGAGGTACAATTCATATTTCTTCATTAAACAACTTATAAAGTCATTTGAAAAAGTTTCTTTGAGACATAATTTCACAAAAAGCATGAGTGAATCACCGCACACTCTCTCTTTCTGTCTGAAAATGCGTAAATGGCTTTAAATCAAATCGCGTCTGCACTATAAGCTGACAGGAATTGTCACTTCCACTATCGAGGCAGTGTCGCATCATCACTAAAGTTTATAAATTGCATTTTTTCTTTTTAATTCTTGCCAGTGTTTAAACCATTCAAACCACTCTCCTGGCTCTCCTGCACACTCGCAGCGCACACACATAATGCCAGATTCACACATACTCTGTTTGCAGTGCATACGCGGTGCATATTTTTTCCGCGCTCATGTTAAAGGGGGTAATATGATGTTGCTACAAATAACATTTATTTTGTGTATTTGGTGTAATGAAATGTATTTATGTGGTTTAAGGTCAAAAAAACACATTATTTTCCACATACTGTACATTATTGTTTCTCCTCTATGCCCCGCCTTTCTGAAAAGCGTCAATTTTTACAAAGCTCATCGGTTTGAAAAAGCGAGGTGTGTTGTGATTGGCCAGCTATCCAGTGCGTTGTGATTGGCCGAATTCCTCAAGCATGAGACGGAAATGTTACGCCCCTCACCATACTGTGATGATGCCCTGTCAGGCCGG